GATTAAGAGCACTAAATAAGGATAGTTTGGGAGGGATTTATTATACTCTTCCTTCATACTGACCTTATTTTTATGTTGTTTGAAGTGGTTTCTGTCATTGTTCTAACTTGCCCTTTCTTTTCTGTACAGAAATTTATCGTTAATATTTGTATGTAGACAGAACAATGTGGTGGCCTTAAGGTTTTTAAAAAAAGACACTGTTACAAAAATGAAATCTTTCTGAGGCTGTGTCATACTCATATTGTCTTGAGTTAATTCCTGGTGCTGTCGTCTTGCGCCTGTTTCATTATACCAGCAATAACTTTCAAAAATATAATTAAAAGCAGGTATGTCTTCAAGAGCAGGTCAAGTCATTACAGTGTATCTGTAAGTCTTCCACACTTGCACTTGTCTGGCTAGAGGAACCATTCAGTAGCTAACATCAGCTGAGCTACCGCACTTACACAATGCACTAATACAAGCCTCTGCATACGGACTTTACTCTGTGAAAGAATTTGTAGTGTAAAGATAGTGAACCACTTGGTTGCTTAACTATACGTGTTTTTTTGACCCTATGACTTACAAAGTCCATCTGAGAGAATCTGACTCTAAGAGGTACTGCTTAAATGGGGATGAAGGGGAGAGGAGGAACTGTCTCTGCACGATGCCATTTTAAGTATGCCCATTCCCTGTACAGCTGGTAGTCTTGGGCAGATTCAATCCATAGGATACTTCCCTTTTGTCTCGCTAGACCTTTACCCTGATGAAAAGAGAAATTGACATTGAGACAGATAAGCCTGAATGTCAGCAGGACTTGGCCAGAGCCTTACAGCCATTTCCCAGAAGGGAAGGGGGAATCGAGACAGAAGTTCACTCAGGAAGTTGGCATAGGCTGTTGCTGTTCATTGGGAAAAACCTCAAAACTGTGTTTTCAGATCTTTTGTAAAGAGACACTCAGGGAGAGAACTGGGAGAAATGCTACAAAATAAGCAAGAAGGAAAAATGTAATGATGTCTGAAAGCTATATAATGGCAAAGGGCAGTTGGCCCAACAAGAGGTGAACTGAGCACGTGTTGTTTCTATGCTCCTCCAAGCCACAGCAGAACATTGTAAGAACCAACAAAGATTAAATGTTTTAAACTTTCCTTAGAAAGTCGATAGAACTGAACAGGAAGAGGGCTCTAAGCAACTCCCGTGGCTTCCTAAAGGTAATACGTACAAAATCTTTTAGAAAGTTTTAGAAAGCCCTAACGGAAGCCCTGCCTTTTAACGCGCTGTCAGTTTTTTAAAAGGGCTGTGAGTTCAACAGCTCCTGCCGAGTGTTTGTGTTTAACGTGCTCGGACGGACGGCACTCACACTGAAGGGTGGCTGAGTAATTGGAGCAGGATATAGGAGGTCACTGCTGCACTTCCACCATTGTGTACTTCAGCCTTGCTCTGATCCCAAACACTTTGGGTTCCAGGGAAGTGCCAAAGGCTGACCCCTTGGGAAACGGCCTGTTCAGAATAATGTTTACCTTGTTTTGACACCTTCCTTCCTGAAAGGTGTGCATCAGCGTGTTCTTGCCTGTGAGCAAAGTCAAGCAGAAAGCCTGCTTTCCTGTTTTTTCTTGGTACCATATCTTCCCCAACCCCACAGGCAAAATTAGTGTATAAAGGAGGGTGTACTAAAATATCCTTATGCTGTAGTAGAGACTGCAGATTTGGGGACCTGTGTGCTGTGCATTTTGCTTTCCTTCAGAAGGAAAGCAGAGTCATGGGCTCTGGTAAATGTTGCAAATACATCCTTGGCAAAAGGGTCCTTCTATGAACACTCAGACAAAATTGTCAGAAGGCTTCCTGGTGTTGTTCAGCTGGGCTTTTGCATACTGTCCCCACTTTCAAAATGTCAGTGAAAGGTGCAAATGTTAATGCATATAATGCTATCTGAAATAGAGGCACAGCAGACAAATATTGTACCTGCTGTGATATCATCGTGCATTGTAGCACTGAGCAATAATGTGTACATGTGATTCAAAACTGTTTAAAGGAATAAGTTTTTCTCCTTATCTGAGTAATACTGTTTTAAAGGTTATATTTGAGTTAGCTTCAAGGATTTGTCTCAGCTTGTATCATTTGTTATTTGAGAATGGGAAATGGGGAAGGTATTTTGTTTCATTGTATAAAGGATAGATGCCTGCTTTGTACTGATTAAGACTCATTTTAAGTAAGGTATGATGATAACAGTAGCGTATAGTCTAGCTAAATAGGCAGATAAGAGGAAAGTAATGAAGGATTATTATTTTTGTGTTTCTGAGGTTGTTACCTCAGAGGTTCTTACCTGGTAGCTGTCTCATGAGACAGTAGAAGCAAATCATTTTCTGAAGATTCACTGATCAGCAATTTCTTTGTATGTCTTTTATAATCCTTAATTATCATGGTGAAAACACATCTTTAAGTTGTGTGAAAGTTGAATATTCAAATGTGACGATTTGCAATTTTATCTTGTAGCAGGACAGTGCATTATGTAAAAGTTTCCTTGAAATAGTTATTGGAGATGTAAGGAGTAAGGAGGTTGGTATTTAAAGTTTACTTATTTAAGAAGTAAATCTCAGGGTAGTACTCGAGGAATTAGGCTCCACAGTGCCTGTTAACACTTATGAGAATTTGTGGCTCGTTTCCTAAAGTTCAAGTTAACATTTTACCTGCTAAGAAATGCAATTTACTTGAGGTGTGCTATTAACATAGCTAATAATAGAATGCAAAAAAAAAATAAAAAATTAGTCCAGAAGTATTTCGTGCCTAAAAGAAAACATATGAATACATATTAATTTAATTGAATCTTGTTAAAATAAAATGGTGATAATCCTGTGTTGATTTTGTTAATGTCTGAAAGGAGAGAATCCTTTAAACAGGTCTATAGTTAGTAATTAAATGTAGTACAATAGTTTTCTCAGGTGATCCGATCTTTTCTTAAAAAGGAAGTAAAACACAATTGTATCATTGCTTTGACTCGTGAATTGTATCACATCCAAGTTATTTGGGGCACTGAATTCCATTAGGTTTTGCTGGATTATAGCAAATCATTCAATTTCTAGGAGGAAAAAAGAAAGAAATGAAAAAAAGTAGATTCTTATCTTAATATAAGTGGATTTGGCCTTTGTTCTGTGGAAACTATAGCTCTGGATCAGTCCCTGGTAATGCAGAGTTGTGATTTCATCCCCTCGCTCATGCGACCACCTGTTTGTTCATGACAACTATTTTAGTGTTTTTATCTGATGGATAGAAAGAAAAAGATTTTATCTAAAAATTAAACAGAAGCAACTAGAGTGCACGCAATATTTTCCCTCTTGTCAGAGGGTTGATGTCTGGGGATGTATTTGTACAATTATGATAGCTTTTAGTCTGTTCCTATGCTCTTTGATTTTCACATTCCTTCATGCTATTCCTAACCAGTGACGCTGTTCCCAAAGTGATGAAAGAAGCTTGCTTTATGAATATAGGTGGCTTGTTTTTCTTGAAGTCATTATTCTACTTCTGATTTTGTTACTTGGATATTATGCCAGTTTGTCCAATGTTTATACCAGTACGTAAAAAAAAAAAAAAAAAAAAAAAAAAGACAGTAACTATTTAAGCCTTTGGAGATTTTAGTAATCTTTCTGCACAAGATGTTGTAGCTCTTCACTTACAAGTGCACTATTTAATATAAATAATTGCTCTTCACATTTATTTCAGGATTATGTTTCATTTAAACTATCAAAGCCAAGGTCCTCCTTACAGCAAGTGTCTGATGGTGAGCTGTAAGCGCATTTTGGTTTATGGATATATAATGACTTATAGAAAGGTAGCTTGCCCTTAGCATTGTTTTACACTGAGTGTAAAGGCTTTAAGCTTTACAGCAGTGTAGACAAGCTTAAATTTCACTGCCCTGGTCATGGAGAATGCACTTACTATTGGGACAGCAAAATTAGTTAGATTGTATGGCAGAGCACAGTGGTTTGTAAAAAGGAGAGATGAAGCAAAGGAGAGAAGAGAGTGGAGCTGTCAGTAGGAACGTTTGGGAGCAGGCACGCTGGGAATCTCTTCTTTCTTGACTCCCCTACTCAACCTTTTCAGAGCTTTAGACCTTTGCAGAAGGTATCTCATGCACAGGTTTTCCAGCTGCTCTGTTCTCCCCCTGCCGGCTGTGCACTCCTCCCACTGTGAAGCCAGCCTTTCTGTCTGTAAAGTGGTGGTTGTTCCAGCTGAGCTGGCTCTGCGAGAGGAGGGCTTTTGAGGTACAGAGGACTCAAGGGCAGGGAGAGCCTTCCACTGTTAAGTACTTGTGGCAAATGCTTGCTTAGCTCCAATCTGAAGCTGACTATGCTGTTGACTTCTTTTAGCCCTAGCATGTTTTGGGCATTTGGGCTGGTAGTTTGACTGCCAACAGTCTATTTAACTTTTCCACAGGTGTTTCAGTGAAATGGCTTTCAAGAAGGAAATTAATTATTGAATTATTTCAATAATTTTCCAATTAGTATTAGCTCAATAGTACTTGAGTTAAGGCCTTGCTTAAAATGGAAATTCTTACAGAGATAACCCTATCCAGGTATTTTTTTCTGCAGTATTTGTTATGTTGTCTTCATCCAATTTTGCTCTACAAACATCACTTCATTCTATTATCATCTGTATCACTGCAATACTTGGACAGATATTGCAGTTGAATTCTTAGTTCTGCTCCCCACACATTGCTTTCGGTGTCACAAAGGGAGCTGTTTGCCATGGGCTTCCAGAATAGGAGGGAAATCTGCAGAACTTGCATCAGTAGTCACTGCTTGACCCCTGTACGAAGCTTCGCGGGGTACTTTTAATAATGGCATTGCATACAGTTCAGAAAGATGGTAGCACTAGTTCTAAAAGTTTGACTGGGTGGCTACTTATCCAGGCTGATTTGTATTTCTGGGTTTGAATTCTGTGGTTGTTGTTTGTATCAGCAGCTATGTAAATACTGAGATAAATGCTGTTGAGTTGTAATGGCTTCACTGTCTGTTAAAATGCTACAGGTAGAAGATGATGATGATGATGATACTGAATCACGAGAGGAAGAAGAGAGAGAAGTGAAAAGCTACTCAAGAAGAAAGATTTTTTCAAACTGGAGCCGCTATGAGGATGCAGAAAAAGAGGGACAGAACGAATGTGGGGAATCGCAGAGAGGAACAGACTTCAGTGTTTTGCTTAGCTCAGCAGGTAAGCATTTTATACTCTGTATAAAGTTTTTTAGCTTTACAACTTGAAATATTCTGACTCTTGTTCCTTGATGATGAAACAGGGCCCTATAATACTGCTTCTATCTGCCTAAGTCTATTTAGGAGTCTTCAAAGTCTCCATGGGAGTAGCTTTGGGAGCACATACAGACTCCACTGAGTCATGGTAGCTGGGGAGTAAAACAGGACTGCCACATATATAGCTTTGTCTTAAAACTATGGGTCTGAATGCATGCAGCAACTTTGAGCCTCTTGCTGACGGTGAATTTCTTGCTGATCTGAGTTGTTTGGTTGTTTCCCTGAAAACAAAAAAGGTTGCTGGTATGACTAAACACAACAAAGCAGTCAAGCAGCTGCTTGCTGTTGTTTGTTTTGACAAAGATTTGTAATCAGTGCTGTACAGATGTGTGCATGAATAGCAAGTGTTACTCTCCTTGATAGTAAAGATCAGTCATTTTCCCATTTTAAAATAAGATGAAATAGAAGAAAAGGGTGGAGGACAGCCTGTGATGATTTTGTATATATATATGTGTGTGTGTGTGTGTATGTATAAATGAAATATGTGTATATATATAATAGCTATACATTAATAGTATGGACAGATGCACAGTTACCTAAGATTATTTTAGAAACTCATACTGAGCCGTTATGTTAGAATACTGTTCAGCAAGAAGCTACAGACAGTATTTATTTATTTACTTGGTGCAATTTGGAAGCTCTGAAATCTCTCAGACCTGAATACTTGGATTTTTCAGCCACAGCTTACAGGTATAAGTTAGAAATTATCTGCAGTAAAGAAACATGGACCAGAGCTATCCTGTGTGCCAGAATCAATTTCAGAAGTTCCGTTTTGTGTAAGCATTGCAAAACTGGGCCTAAATTGCTGATTTTAAGCATATGATTATGGCATGTATATTGACATCTCTGAATGGCATGTTGCACGGTAAACAGAATTGTAGTTAAGATGTCAGGTATGGACATCAGAGTTGGATAGATAGCCTGGGGAGCAAAATAGATATCACAACTCAAAACTTTTTCAATCTAGAGACCTAACCTGAGCTTCATAGTTGCGTGTTGCCATTGTTCTACCTTGTTTTTTCCCCAAGTGAATTTAAATATCTTTAACTTACTATGTAGCCTTCAAAATGCCTTTAAAATGCTCTGATGAATAGTACTTTTGAACTGAAAGTATAAGGAAGTACTATTTATTTCTACTGACTTGTATTTCTATATTCCAATACATCTATTTGACTCTGTAGATTGTCTTGATGTCTAATTGGAAATCTTGTTAGTAGTCTTATTAGGTGTTAATTCTACATCTTCCATTCAAAGTGTGCTTTACCTTGCTTTAGCTAAACATTTTTTTAGGGTCTATTGTGACAGCTCTTGACATTAAAATAAATTGATAGGAGCCAGCAAGGAAACAAAGTACTTGTTTTAAGAGAGGAGGAAATAGTACCCTCGAAACAATAATACAGATTTTGTGGATTCATGTGAAAAAGCAGTGCATGTCAGGGGGTGAGGATCATATTTAGGTCTGCTCTGCTTGTTTATACATTTTATTAAAAAAAAAAAAAAAAAAGACAGGTTTGATTAAAGTATTTTGGAAGTAACGTAGGATAATGACCTAATGAGTATGATTGCTTTATTGTCACAGTGTCCTTGTTATCGAATAATTTGTGTGTTGCTGAAAACTACAGCTTCAGCAAGTTTCAGTTTTTTAAAAATGCTGTGTTTTACAGAACAGGAAAGGTTTGTTTGTAGACAATTAGACTCAGAAAAAACGAGGGCATTATGTTGCTGGTTTATATCTGTTTAAAAGACTGAGTTGAATTTCTGAGTGCTAACCATCCCCTTAGCTGAGGTAATGATCTTAGCATTTTGTTTTGTCTGTCTTATCTTATTTCTTGTATTTTTTTTTTTCTGATTTTTCATTATTTTGTTATTTTGTTATTTTCATTATTTTGTTGCTTGTAATGCAAATTGTGTATATCAGAATTTTCACTTGATATGATATGTTTTAAATTATACTGATTGATAAATATGTCTTTGTTGTGTTCTTTGTGAGGTTAGGTATTCACTTACTGAATTAGAGAATTAGTAAGTGTGAAGTTTTATCTCCTGAGTAAAACCAAGACTTCTTCATTCTTTGAAAGTTTCTTTTTCGTTCTTTGAAGAATGTTAGGATGGCATTAAAAGCTGTGCAACATTCAAAAATAAAATTTTTTATGTTCTGTTGTGCATAGTTTTAATCGCTGGTGTGTCTGTCTTTTGGTAAAGATTTATGTTGATGTCTACGCTTCGCAAAACTAAATCTTTGCTTTATTTTTTCTAGTGGTTTTTATGGTTGTATTAGTCTAGATGCATTTTAAAAATGTTTTAATCCTCATATTGCAGTGTGAAGTGAGATCTTTTCTAATGTCTGTTACCATACGTACATCTTGAAGAAAAAATGATTGTGACATAAATGTGTTAACTGGAAGAATATGAAGGCAGAGCAGCAGAAATTGTTATAGAAAACATTTGCATAAGTAGTTATGAAGAGAACAATACATTGCATGTTCTTATGTGCTTTTGAATAGGAGTGTGAGTTCAAAAAATGGTTACTGATATTTGTTTATTTCTACCGTCTGAATTAGAATGGTTTCAGTTAATCTTTTAAATGAAATGTCATGTAATTTTAGTTTGGTATGAATTGTGTGAGTTCTTAGCAGAGAAAATCTTAGGTTTTATTTGCATTATTATACTTGTGTTCAGATAATATCTGGGAAGGGAGCAGATCATGAATGTGCAAAATTCATTTTAAAACAGTCTCCTCTTAGAATTATGAATGTAGTTTTTACTTGCTAGTTAAAATGAGCTAGTGTAGGCTGTGAAGGTAGGTAACATGAAGATATTGGTAGATGAAGAAGGCGAGGCTTCGCTGAATCAGAAGGAGAAAGTTGTACCGTTCTAAAATGAACGCTTGTGGAAAAGAACATGAACCAGCGTTTTAAGACATTTTGTGATCAACTCGGTGTCATTCAGAGTATGTCTAAATTGCCAAATCTGTGTGGTGTTCTTTATAAAATCATGTTGAATAATACATTTATTTTTTATTTTTTCATTGTAACAGAGTGAATACTTGCACAGTTGTGGTTTTTTGTTTGTTTGGTTGGCTTGGTTTTAAATCATAACTGCGTGACTTGCCCAATATACCTTGTGTGTGTATGTTCAAAGATGTTAAGCTCAGAGTGTAATCCACTCCAGTTCTTACACATCCAATATCCTACGGCTTACTTCTCATCATTTTTAGATACCAGTAAAATGAGCTGATATCAGGAGGTGGGTTATTTAACCATTTTGATTTGTTTTCAGTATCTGGTGTAGCAATTCAAAGAAAATTGTGAAACAAATTAACAGATCGACTTGGTTCTTAGAATTTTTCACAGTTGTTACTGACAGAAGGATAGGGCAGCATTAGAACCTCTGACTGCTTGATATTGTATTTCTTTTATGATAGTGAATGCTAGGATGTCAGTTTTTGCCTTTTTTTTTTTTTTCTTCCCCCAGTCCTTTGTTAATTAAAAGGAGAGATGACAAAAAAATGCACTGAGTTAGGAAGGTGGCATGAATTACTGTGTTACATGCTCAGATCTTTACAGTAATGCAATAAAAGGTAGATCTCTTTTCAGTTAGGAAATGAAAGATTGTCTTCCTTACTTATGGAATTTAGTAAGATTTTCTAAGTAGTACTAATTCTCTGTGGTTATCTGTTTTTTAATAGACTTATGTCTTCCGTTAATTTAAATACCACACATCTTCCCCTTTGCTAATACAAAGATATTTCTATTGTATGTAACTTAAAATATGACTGCAGCTGGTTATGGCAGAGCTGTAAAATATTTAGTTTATTATTAGGAATGTCTTCAGCCTAGTGTAGACTTAATAGTTTTGCATGTTAGTTAATTCAAATGGACTGTAAAACTGCATGGTTATATAGCAGGATTTTCTCTTCTAAAAGTTATCTTTCAAGTCACATTTGTAGCCATTGGATATATTTATCTATTTATTTTCTTGTGGAAGTGTTATGGGCTCTTGTTCTTACGATACATGGTTTCTTTAGCTTGGAATGGAATCATGTTTACTTGTAGTGATCTAAGAAGAAGCTTGCATCTCTGCTTTTTTTGTAACTTTGACTTCTGTTAGGATATTGCTGTTTAGCATTCTGAAATTGCACCGTGGATCCAATTCAATTGCACCAAGCAGTTAGGGGATTACTGGAGAGGGAATGGAATTAAAGTGCCATTTTTCATGAATGCAAAAGCTTAGCAGGGTCTTGCACCAGTACACAACTACGTAATTACTGTAGCCGGTTAAGAATTCTTTGGCACACACTCTGACTAAAAACCTGTTCTCCTACAGAACATTTAGGTTCCACAGTATTGAAAGCAGGGTCTTATAGAGATTGTTGGTCTTTAATACACAACTTAGATTTATTCCGAGAAAACGTCTTGTTAATTGAACGAGATAGTTTGGATGTACACAGTGATGGTGACAGAATTAGTGCTAGTAGGCAGACTTAAATGAAGGAAATCCTGATATCCAAGGAGTTAAAATTCAAAGCTTGATATTTCGTTAATAATTTTATAAGCATGCTTCTGTGTGGAATTCTCTAGTTTAAATAAAGAAAAAATGGCAGCAAAATGAGAACACAAATACTGTGTGATATGGATGTCATGTTGATAATTAGCAGGATTGGAACTTTTAAAATCTATTATATGAACATTCCAGATGCTTGAATTAAGTAACTGTGAGCTGTAGATTGTTATGCTGTATTTTTATCAGAAGTGGAGGAAAATGGGAGATTTTTTTCAGAAGGGGGATCATTCTGTGGTTGCAGATATTTGCCGAGTATGATAATCTTTGGGGGATTTTGTTTTACTTTTAAAAATAATTTTTAAGCCACACACTTTTTTTCCCGTTTTTGCTTATTCTTCCAGT